TCTCTCTCTCTCTCTCTCTCTCCACATTGCTAACGAGCCCTTGTCCTTGCTAGAAACGATTGGGCTATGATGAGGCCCTGTTATTGCCGATAACTTTTAATAGAGACAAAGAGTAGGAAAAAACGTTATTACCGGATCCCTGTTATTACCCGGCCTGTTATATATGGTTTCCCCTGTATATTAAGATTCTTCCCTTCATTGCGCACTGCCGTAGATGGTAAAGAAAAACAAAATCAGCTTCTGTGCCTTTTGTTAATGATGTAGTTTGTCATAAACATGGGTCAGGTCTTTGTTAACAAAATTATTCTCCTTTTTTTGTGCTGGCATGTGGTCTTTGCTATGTCTGTCAAAGTGACTACAGTCAACAAACCTTACAATACGGCCCAACTTCCGATGAGCATGAAGTTGGTTGTATAGCGGGGCTGGCAGTATATGGTCGCTTTTAAGCACAAGGGGGCTGTCCCGAAAAATGCTGTTTTGAGAAAATCGAAGGTAAAGTTTTTGGGTCCTTATTCAGTTTCTTTAAAAGACATGGAAAGTTTTATCTATACCCTAACAAATATACACACCACTGAAACCAAACTTCTCCTATAGGTAGGGCAATGCCCACTTTTGGCGTAGGTCTAGATTTCTGGAAACCCTAAAATCTGGGTTAACCCGCTTGTCCTTAAAAGCAGTCATATATAGAAATTTTAATACCTGGAGTGAAGACTACAGCAACCTTGATGACAGTGATGCGAGAGAAGACATGGACTGGGGATTGAATTTTATTTTTTTTTACTTTGTCCACAGCCCTGTATCTGGTGTTTGTGTTCCAAAAAGTGAAAGACGTGACTCCACCAATGACAGATGTGACCAGCTCTAGTGCAGGGCTTGCTTCTGACTCAACGATGCCAGTGGCGCCATCCGGTGCTGCTCCCTCTTCTTGACCCTAACTACTGCCCTCAGTTCATTTGGTTTCCTTAAAGTTACATGTTGGACCGATATATCCTCAAAAACGATCGGAATAATTTTAAAGTTTTTGTTGACAAAACACAAGAACAAGACTGGGAGTTTATCCAAAGACAAAAACAGCTGAAGTCAAAGTTTTATTATCATTAATTGTACTTGCAGGTTTGTGTGAAATATTGAGTTTACATTAGTGATCAGCATTCATCTACTGCTTTTAGCTGAACATCTTCTTTACATTGAGTTGTTAGCAGGGAGACATATCAAACAGTAGTTTAGTAGTATTGACAAAAATTAATTTCTTTTTTGTTGTTGTCATGTAGGCACTTTTGTTCCATGAAAATGGCCAGTCGTATCATGTGATACCATGTTGTTCCAGGAAATAAAAATCATCACACAGGGACATTTTGTCTTGAAGTCTTCATTGTATATTTTGTTTCTTTATCTTTTGTATTTTGGCTTCTTTTTTATATAATCGTACTCTTTGATGTCCCAATCTAGAAAGAGTTGCTTTCCTTTTCTCTAGCAATGTTCTCTCGTCTGCTTTCGTCTCCTTTTTGCCCCTACCTGGTCACCCCCTTTGCCCCCTCCTCTGGGCTCCTGACTCTTTCTGCAGCCTTTCTACTGCTACTCCTTGGCTCCTTCTTACTGCTGTCTTTCAGCCACACCCCTGATCTTCTGGTAGGAAAGATCTACACCTATCCTTCTCGGACGAGGGCGAAAAAAAATGTGGAGGTCCCGTGTGCAAGTCACACTCGTTAAAGATCCCTTAGTGGTCTAAAATTGATAAGAGTAGGCTTCGTCCGCCACCCTAGCAAAATTCAAAATTTCCTAACAACTGAAAGTTTAGTGTGTCCCGTGCGCTCTTATGACCTTATGCAGTTACGAGCGCCATAAATCACTTACAAAAAAACAAACTAGAAAGAGTTGTTGTTGGAGGAGCAGAAAGTTTTACAGCTGATTCTGTCGTTGTGTGTACCTGTGTTGTAGCATTGCTTGATCTCAGCTGTTTGTGCTGGGACAGTTATAGACCAGTAAGAGTGGGTGGTTGGCGGGCGCTCTGGTGCCGTTTGCTTCTTCTTTCAGGTCCTATGAAAAATCTATCGTCCTTATCTCCCCTTCTTCTTTTTTATATTTGTTACTCTCTTGTAACACCTCTAATCTTCTGGCGCTCATATGACCTTATGCAGTTGCGAGCTCCGTAAAACTTATTCTAAAACTAACTTGGAAAGTTATAGACCAGTGAGAGTGGGTGGTTGGCGGGTGCTCTGGTGTGGTTTGCTCTTTCTTTCCTATCAAACATCTATCGTCCTTATCTCTCCTCCTTTTTTGTGTATGTTACTCTCTTGTAACACCTCTATTCTTCGGCACATATATGACCTTATTGTGTTGCAAGTGCCGTAAAACACTTACTAAAACTAAAACTAAAAGACTAGTGAGAGAGAAAAGGGGCAACGAATAGTCATGATTATTTGAAGAGAAACGTAGTAACTTTTGTTTTTGTTTTGATGAGACACAATTTGCATGTTTATTGTTTGGTCTACTACAGCCGTAGAATGGTGTCTGCCAAAAAGTCTTATGATAAAAAAAATGAATGTAACCTTCTTTTTCAAGACCATGATGTTCTACATCATGCTTCCATGTACATAAATTTATAGTATCAATCTGAAGGTGAAAGAAGTGCTAGAAAATAGTACTCAAATTTAATTCAATAATCTAATTCAACGTAATGAATGTATCGGATATTTTTTCTGAGTTTTGAGTAGTGGTAAACAGGAGCACTTTGAGTACTTTGACACAGTAAATGAGTAAAAGCCATTTGTGAGGCAGCGTGGTGGAATCGGGCTCTCGTCAATTTTTGGGCCTGTAGAGTTATTGGTATCATCAAAGCTTGTTCACTTGTCTTTATTTGGATGGAAAGAATATCCATTTTTGAATACAAGTCGAGATATTTGCGAAAGAAGGAGGTGGGGGTCACCTGTTTTCTGAGGTAAAATTATTGAGAAAACGGCCGCCAAAGATTAGTTATTTCCTAAGCTTGAGTCAGTAGTAACTGAAAATTTACATTTTTTTGTGCCTTTAATCAACGTTTTTCAGAAAAATCCACGCAGAAATTAGTTCTTTAATGGGCATGAAAGGTGTTGAGCCAAAAAACAAAAATGTGATAAAAATTCACAAACCTGCGGAAAAATGCAGGTTTCGTCACTTTGATTATTTTTGACGAGAGCCTGATTCGACGACGCTGCCTCACAATTTGGTGGCGAGAAAAACAAGACAGACCTTCAGAAACAACAGAGTGAATGAAAAGAAATACAATACACGCAGGGGTAACACTAGATCTAACGGTGGCACTGTCTAAACGTCTGCCATTTTTTCTCTGTATATTCTTGTACTTAATAATAATAATAATAAATAGCATAATTTGTTTAGCGCATATCCCCGCTCAACAGCAGGCTCTATGCGCTTTACACTATGTTATTACCCCAGCAGACCATAGAACACCCCGAAACATTCTCAGCTTCCCGGGAAGCATACAGTGTAAGCAGCTGATTAAGCGCTCAAACACTGACAAACTGACAAGATCTTTCGCTGTCTATAGCCAGGTACCCATTTCCACCTGGGTGAAGTGAGGAAAACTCGTGTAAAGTGCCTTTCCCAAGGACACAATGTCGGGCCCCTGACGGGATTTGAACCCACGACCTTACGGCTGCGAGTCCGAGAGCCTAACCACTTGGCCACCAACGTCACAGTTGCAGTGTTAACCCTATCCGTACGCCATGTAGTCATTTTGTACCCCCGGGGTTGTATTCTTCACATTTTAGAATACAATGTATGTTCAAAATACAAATAACACCAAGAAAAAGATCCAAACCTCCCTTTTTCCCTCCCTCCAAAAGAAAAAAAAGAAACATTTTAACGGGCCTTACGGCATTAATCCTAAGGCCTCAGTTAGAGCCAGAGTTGTTTTAGTTTAGCACACTCTACATCAGAGTACTGAGTGAAAGAGAGTTAGAAAAGACCTACATCTTTTACACCTGAACTTTCTCTTCTTTACAGTGTAACACCCAAAGTGACAAGCATCCCGAAGTAGCCAAGGGTTCTTTTAATTTTAGTAGTTTTAGTAAGAGTTTTACGGCACTTGTAACACAATAAGGTCATATAAGTGCCGAAGATTAGAGGTGTCACAAGAGAGTAACAAACATAAGAAAGGAGGGAAGAGAGAGACGATAATTTTCTTTTAATAGGAAAGAAGGAGCAAACCACACTAGAGCACCCGACAACCACCCGTGCCAACGGTTCTATTCTGGAAAAAAAGGAAGAACAGGGAGACAAACACAAGATGATCTCCTTCATAGGTACATAGGGGAATATCTGAGATATTTCCACAGGCTCTTAAGATGATCCACTTATTCTAATTTATCCTCAAATTTAGTTGCCTTCCTTTCAATACTTTCAATTTCTATTCCACTTACTTTATGTATTTTCTTTTAAAAAAATAATTACAGAGCAACTGCTTTCATTTTGTTCTTGACTTACCTTTAGCAATCACACAATTTGTTGTGTGTAAAAAAGTAGCATGTGTATGGCCTTCGTTTACTGTGGATGTGTGGGAATACTGGAAGGTACCACTTGGATTTGGAAAGCAATATAATACCGTTTATATGTATTGGATTTTAGTTGCACGCTTACTTACTTACACACACACACACACACACACA